ATGGACTGATTTCCCCTGGCCCTTAAACACTGGAACTGCGGGCAACCAGGTTAGAGTTCACTCTGATGTTCTACCCTTGCCAATGTAATGAGCCGAAATGAGAACATCCACGTCTTCCCTGAAGAAGGAAGAGTGTTTGCCATGGTCTGTTAGTGCATCCCTCAAACTCATGTTGAAACCTAAGCCACTGTGGGCTGTTATAAAGAGGCAGAGTCTTTGGGTGGTGACCAGATGGTTCCAGGAAGAAACCTCGTGAACACTTGCTAGGAAACAGGCAAGAACACTTGCTCTGCCTTCCACCACGTGTGGACACCACAATACTGGGCCCCTGCGAAGCAGTGAAGTCACCAGACCTCGAATATGTCAGTGCTTGATCCTGGATTCCCCAGTGTCCAGAACCGAGAGGAAAAACTTGGGGCTTAAAAACAACCCCATCTACAGTGTTTTGTTATAGCAGGAAGGACTGAAACTATACTCTCATTATAACCTTCACCTGCCCCACTTTTCCTTCTACCGCAGCAGAAATCAGAGGGGGTGTCCATCTCTGGGAGACCCACAAGCTTTCCTTCCCTGCAGCACTCTGGCCTCACGCATCAGCTGACATCAGTGAGGAAGGCAGATCTCCCCAGAATGTGCCACACAAGCAGAGCCATTCACAGGTCTTCTGATAATTTTGCTTATCAAGGGCCTTTGATAATACCCATTTTTTTTAAGAGGTAAGGGAAGAACACTAGTAACACACAGTAGGACTGCAGCTCTGTTGACTGCAAATGGAAAATAAAGGCACAGTCACAAGCATATCGACTAATTTCAACATTCTACAGTTACTGTCTGTGTGCAGGTGTGAGAGATGTAGACCACACACCAAGCTCTTGCACCCGAATTACAGGTCCAGGGATACTTCAGCCCCTGTCTCCCCGCGGGGTCCCATGGGAGGACACCCTGGCCTCTCATGGCAGCATGTCGTGTTCCACTGTGGGATGAACAGGCAGCCGACTGAGAGGAATGAACAACTACTTTCTTGGAGAAAGGCACACGGTCACACCTGGAACTCTATGACTGGGGCACGCACCAGGCACTAGGAACACGAGAGGGTGCACGGGTCGTGGGCATCTGCTCTCCCTAGAGAATACACAGAGGGCTGGGCTGGGTCGCTTCTGCCACGTCACAAGCTGTCAAATGAGTCAAGCTGCCTTTGAAATAGGGGAAACACATCTTACAAATCTGAAGTCTGTTAGCTATGGGTCAGCTGCCTTTTCAAAGATTTAATGTGGACCTTCCCTCATTTAGCACCTCCCCGTTCTCCTGAGATCCAAGAGGAGGCAGGCTGTGAATACCCTGGGTTGCACCTCACCTGAGTTAGATGAGGTCCATACTGTAGACTGCATAAGACCCAGAGGTCTTTCAGAAAACCCCTCAAAACAGCAATTCATCCCAGATTACCAAAGAGTTAAACCTAGGCTCCCCTGGTTGCAGTCCAGTGTCCTCTATCTTCTGTTCTGGCATGTGTCGAAAGGGGTGTCCAAGTGCCTCATCCCTTTTTTCTGCTGTGACACACTAACACGTTCGCTAACTTTAAACATACCTTTTTAAATTAAAAGTTATGCATCTGGGGGCTGGGGATTTAGCTCAGCAGCACAGCACCTACCTGCCAAGTGCAAGGTCATGAGTTCGATTCCCCGTACCGGAAAAAAACCAAAAAAAAAAAAAAGTTACTCATCTGATGTCTCCATACTTTGTTTTTGTGATCCACTCAGCAAACCACAGCAAATCATAGTACCAGCCCCTACCAAATCTCCAAAGTTTTGGTGCAATGATTAGGATTCTGCTCGTGTCCAGTCCTGCAGATCCAGTGGGTCACTGTGAAAGTTCTAGGACACTATGCACGCTTGGACGAATGAGAAGTGTGCTGGGACAAAGAAATGAGAAAAACATCTGCCATCAAAGGAAAAAAAAGTGTGGTATCTTACAGTTCCAAAAAGACTTGGAAGAAGTACTCAGGCAATCTGGCATCTTCTTAGATGAATTATCTTGTGAATCATCCTAAAACTTTTATGCCTATATAATAAAGAACATTAACACTTTGGTTTATGTTGAGCCAAAAAAAATTATAACCACCACAGATCAAGATAAGCTGTCAAATGAGTCAAGCTACCTTGGAAATAGGGGAAAAATGTCTTACAAATCTCAAGAACTCCAAGATGTTTTTATTTATTTCAAATTCCAATAGAATGAATATTTTATCTAAATATTTTATCACACAACTGAAACAATGAATAACTTTTCAGAAATAGAGTTAAATACATCAATCTATTACAAATTCTAATAGAAAGAGTACAAAATATGTTATAAATTGTATTTTTATAAAAGAAATACAAACTCTATGGTCTTTTGCATTTTACGGTCTCAAAGGATTTATCAGCAAAGTTGATAAAGAGTGGACATTTCCCTTGCAGGGAAACCAGGGGTCACTCCACCCAGGTATGTCCTAGGGCTCCAGCGTTTGCAGGAACTACTGCAAACAAGGACCTGGTCATTGCTGGAAGCTCTCACCTGTAATCTCTGTTGTTGGTGGTTGCTCCGTGAATAAAATGTTCTGCAATTAGAAGTCACCAAAGTTAAAAGCAGTAAGACAGCAAATGTTACTTCAGACATTGTGAGAGTGGAGAGTCGAGTTTACAAACACAGAACAGAGGTTTCTTCTGCTGTCTACAACAGGGTTTGAACCTTGTGATGCACTTGGGGGACAGGCGGTCTTGTTCTGAGAAGGAATGCCAGGAAAGAGCATCTGGCCATGGGAGTCCAGGAGGTGCTGTCTTCTATGCAACGTGGGGCCCGGACCACTCTCTGTGATGTGGAAGACACTCCCATTGCCGAGAAACTACACTTGCTCTCCTTGTTGAAAGAATGTGAGGCAACCAGAGCCACTGCCCAGGGAGGTAGAACTAGCCCCCCGTGGCACACAGCTCTGCATCCTAAGGGAGTGTAGTACTGTTAAATCTATGTGTGCTGGACACTATGCAGATGCTGGAGCAGTTCTGAGCCACGCGGCACAGCAGCCAAGTTAGAAGACACACCGACAGCATATCACAAATCCATGTTCCTTTTTCCCTTGGAGTGACTGCATGTAGCTCCCAATGGGATCTCATTTTCGGAAAGCCAGTGTCTTTCTTGATTTAAAAAATAAATATTGGGGGAACCTCTTAAAACATATGATACTTTCAGAACCAAAAAGGAAAAATCCACACAGCTTTCAAATTTCAAATTTGCTTTGAACCAACACAGATGCAATGTGTCAGTCTCAGACTACGAGGAGCCAGGCAAAACTGTGCACAGGTACGGTGGGTGATTTCCCAGAGAAGACAAGGAGCATCTAATTTTCTGGAGAATTTAAATTCTCACTCTTTGAGTTAAGGACTACAAGTAAATAACCTTAAGATTTTAAAAAGCTCATTATTTGTGTGTTATCTGAATTCAAAAACGAGAAGAGATGCAAGGGGAGAGGAAAACAGGGTGACAGGAGGAGGCAAGGCGCCAAGCTAGGCCAGGCGGGAGCCAAGCCGGGATCAGCAAGAGTGCAAGGTAAGGGCAGGGGAGACACAAGGAGTACTGCGGTGTAGATAACCAAACCCTTTATTGTCTAAGTTACATTAGACGCAACACTGTAAAAATCCTGTTAGGAAACAAGGAGACAGCAGGTTGGCAGAGGTAGTAGAAAGTCTGTAACAGTCAGAAGGCGACTTACAGAAGTGTATCATGCAGAAACTGTCATTTGAAAAAAAAAGCAAATCAAAACATACTGGCTAAATAAATAAGAAAACACAAATCATATTAAATACTATGGTTGAACTGACACAAACAAATTAACAAACCAATACAATACTGATGCTCAGTGGAAGAAAAGAGCCACCCATCCAGTTCGGTGTGCAGCTGGGCTCAGAGTAGCAATCGCAGCCCTCATGGCTGTGTGACTCTGAAAACCTCGTTTTTTGCACTCTGCGGGCAGGCTCACCACGCACGCAGGCCGGCCGTCCTCACCGCTGCACTCCCAGAAGTCGATGCAGGCACTCTGCAGGGCCGCCCAGCACAGGCCACTCTCCCCACCACACCTACCGGGAAAGGGATTTGCAGGAAAAAAGCCACTTCCTGCTCTAAATGCCAATTGCACTTTTCCGTGCGGCTTCTGAAACAATAAAAATGTAGACGACACCTTTGTGTCACTTTGGGTACAGAATTTCTTTTAATAACTAAAACACAAAGAAACAAGACAGTACTGAATCACTAGTCCCTGCACATTCCTAACTGTCACCGTTTACTTTCAGCCAAGGAAACAAAAGCCAGAAAATGCAGAAATGATCACCTGGGGGGAAATATCAAAATGATCAAACATAAAGCAACAGAAGGGTGCTCTGATTTCTTAGGTGGACAGAGGAATGTGTCTTTATAACTTTGCTCAAATAACCTCACAGAACAATCCATGACAGTTGCTTAACAGTATCTGTGCAGACATCCCAAGCACACTAACACAACAGATCATTCTCATACATATCTGGTGTAAGAATATCAGGAAAAATAAGTAAAAAAAATAATA